ATATTTAAAAGAAGAAAAACTACCACAACAAGAGGACATAGTCTTAAATTAGAGGGACAAAGGTTTAAAAATAATATCAGGAAGCATTACTTTACTGAGAGGGTAGTGGATGCATGGAATAGCCTTCCAGCCGAAGTGGTAGAGGTTAACACAGTGAAGGAGTTTAAGCATGCGTGGGATAGGCATAAGGCTATCCTAACTATAAGATAAGGCCAGGGACTAATGAAAGTATTTAGAAAATTGGGCAGACTAGATGGGCCGAATGGTTCTTATCTGCCGTCACATTCTATGTTTCTATTTCTATGTTTAAGGTTTTACTGTGTAAAGTGTGAAAGCTCGGCATTATATAAAGCTGGAATGTCAGAGCTTGTATTGTATAAAGCTGGAATGTCAGGGCTGGGCATTGTATGAAGTTGGAATGTCAGGACTCTGCCTCGTGTAAAGCTGGAATGTCAAGGCTCGGCATTGTATAAAGCTGGAATGTCAGGGCTCGGCATTGTATAAAGCTGGAATGGCAGGGCTCGGCATTGTATAAAGCTGGAATGTCAGGGCTCGGCATTGCATGAAGCTGGAATGTCAGGGATCGGCATTGCATGAAGCTGGAATGTCAGGGCTCGGCATTGTATAAAGCTGGAATGTCAGGGCTCGGCATTGTATAAAGCTGGAATGTCAGGGCTCGGCATTGCATGAAGCTGGAATGTCAGGGATCGGCATTGCATGAAGCTGGAATGTCAGGGCTCGACATTGTATAAAGCTGGAATGTCAGGGCTCGGCATTGTATAAAGCTGGAATGTCAGGGCTGGGAAATGTATAAAGCTGGAATGTCAGGGCTGGGCATTGTATAAAGCTGGAATGTCATGGCTCGGCATTGTATAAAGCTGGAATGTCAGGGCTCTGATTTGTATAACGCTGGAATGTCAGGGCTCTGCATTGTATAACGCTGGAATGTCAGGGCTGGGCATTGTATAAAGCTGGAATGTCAGAGCTCGGCATTGTATAAAGCTGGAATGTCAGGGCTGGGCATTGTATAAAGCTGGAATGTCAGGGCTGGGCATTGTATAAAGCTGGAATGTCAGGGCTGGGCATTGTATAAAGCTGGAATGTCAGGGCTCGGCAATAAAGCTGGAATGTCAGGGCTGGCATTGTATAAAGCTGGAATGTCAGGGCTCGCATTGTATAATTTGTATAACGCTGGAATGTCAGGGCTCTGCATTGTATAACGCTGGAATGTCAGGGCTGGGCATTGTATAAAGCTGGAATGTCAGGGCTCGGCATTGTATAAAGCTGGAATGTCAGGGCTCGGCATTGTATAAAGCTGGAATGTCAGGGCTGGGCATTGTATAAAGCTGGAATGTCATGGCTCGGCATTGTATAAAGCTGGAATGTCAGGGCTCTGATTTGTATAACGCTGGAATGTCAGGGCTCTGCATTGTATAACGCTGGAATGTCAGGGCTGGGCATTGTATAAAGCTGGAATGTCAGAGCTCGGCATTGTATAAAGCTGGAATGTCAGGGCTGGGCATTGTATAAAGCTGGAATGTCAGGGCTGGGCATTGTATAAAGCTGGAATGTCAGGGCTGGGCATTGTATAAAGCTGGAATGTCAGGGCTCGGCATTGTATAAAGCTGGAATGTCAGGGCTGGGCATTGTATAAAGCTGGAATGTCAGAGCTCGGCATTGTATAAAGCTGGAATGTCAGAGCTCGGCATTGTATAAAGCTGGAATGTCAGGGCTCGGCATTGTATAAAGCTGGAATGTCAGGGCTCGGCACTGTATAAAGCTGGAATGTCAGAGCTCGGCACTGTGTAAAGCTGGAATGTCAGGGCTCGGCACTGTATAAAGCTGGAATGTCAGGGCTCGGCATTCTATAAAGCTGGAATGTCAGGGCTCGGCATTGTATAAAGCTAGAATGTCAGAGCTCGGCATTGTATAAAGCTGGAATGTCAGGGCTCGGCATTGTATAAAGCTGGAATGTCAGGGCTGGGCATTGTATGAAGCTGGAATGTCAGGGCTTGGCATTGTATAAAGCTTGAATGTCAGGGCTGGGCATTGTATAAAGCTGGAATGTCAGAGCTCGGCATTGTATAAAGCTGGAATGTCAGGGATTGGCATTGTATAAAGCTGGAATGTCAGGGCTCGGCATTGTATAAAGCTGGAATGTCAGGGCTCGGCATTGTATAAAGCTGGAATGTCAGGGATTGTTATTGTATAAAGCTGGAATGTCAGGGCTGGGCATTGTATGAAGCTGGAATGTCAGGGATTGGCATTGTATAAAGCTGGAATGTCGGAGCTCGGCATTGTATAAAGTTGGAATGTCGGAGCTCGGCATTGTATAAAGTTGGAATGTCGTAGCTCGGCATTGTATAAAGTTGGAATGTCAGAGCTCCTATACTTACTCCTAAAATTGATCTATTTCCGTCCTTTTATTGCCCAGCAGTTGGTTTGCAGCAGTTTTACATATTCCTTCCATACAAAGGGTTAACCTCTATGTGAACAATAAGGGGTCTCAGCAGGGTCTCCCATTTACTATGTGCCATTTCCTATAAGCTCCAAGAATACGTCCCCCCCCCTCCTCCGGCTGCAATCCTGGCAGATTAGTCTGGTTATGTCAGCAAATTTTTGAAAAATTTCCTTAACACGGTAAAGCTGATTCTCTCCATATGAGACCCACATCCACTGCAGTGACTCTGCCATGCATTACAATGTGTGTGCCTTACTCCTTAACCAAGCCGCTAATCACGCAAATTATTGCAACTAATTACATCTGAAGGTCTAATTAATTCTTTCAGTACCACATCATTTACTGCGCATTCACAACACAGCACCTGTTTTGAAAATCCTAGCAGTTAATTTGTTTATAAACAAACACTATTTGCATAAAATGTTTAATGAATGGTTTAACGTTTAGTACAATGCCTGAGCTTTGTCTTTACAGATTTGAGGTCACCAAGGGCCGCGTTAAATTAATTTTAAACCTTGCAGATTAACGTAAATAGGACGTGTGAATTCCTCATTAATAAAGAAAACAGTTCCACCACGTAGATTAATGAATCGATTATGACTTCGCCAATGAGATTTTCCCGAAGAGCCAATAAGACTTCACTTCTGAGAGATCTGTGATTTACCAGATGGGAACCAAGAGAGTAGAGGAATAGGGTGCTGCACACAATGGGGGTATGAGTGGTGTGATGTATATGGAGATGGTGTGCTGCATACAATGGGGGTATGAGTGGTGTGATGTATACAGGGATGGTGTGCTGTACACAATGGGGTTATGAATGGTGTGATGTATACAGGGATGGTGTGCTGTACACAATGGGGGTATGAATGGTGTGATGTATACAGGGATGGTGTGCTGTATACAATGGGGGTATGAATGGTGTGATGTATACAGGGATTGTGTGCTGTACACAATTGGTGTATGAATGGTGTAATGTATACAGGGGTGGTGTGCTGTACAAAATGGGGGTATGAATGGTGTGATGTATACAGGGATGGTGTGCTGTATACAATGGGGGTATGAATGGTGTGGTATATGAATGGTGTAATGTATATGGGGATTATGTGCTGTACACAATGGGGGTAGGAATGGAGTGATGTACATGGGGACGGTGTGCTGTACACAATGGTGGTATGACTGGTGTGATTTACACATAGGGGGTGGAGAAATGTTTTGCTGTGTAAGGATGGCATGCCGTGTACATAGGCTGGAGTTTGGTCAGGTTATACTCTTTTATTCATTTTGTGAAGTGTGATGGAATATGGTAGCACTGTAAAAATAATAATAATGTGGGGGGAGGGGGCTTGGCCTTTTTTGGGTCAAAGAAATAAAATGAAATAAAGACGACTTAAAATGTGAAGTATATATAGAGAGCTATTTGCATAAAACGTTTAATGAATGGTTTAACGTTTAGTACAATGCCTGAGCTTTGTCTTTACAGATTTGAGGTCACCAAGTGCCGCGTTAAATTAATTTTAAACCTTGCAGATTAACGTAAATAGGACGTATGAATTCCTCATCAATTAAGAAAACAGTTCCACCACGTAGATTAATGAATCGATTATGACTTCGCCAACGAGATTTTCCCGAAGAGCCAATAAGACTTCACTTCTGAGAGATCTGTGATTTACCAGATGGGAACCAAGAGAGTAGAGGAATAGGGTGCTGCACACAATGGGGGTATGAGTGGTGTGATGTATATGGAGATGGTGTGCTGCATACAATGGGGGTATGAGTGGTGTGATGTATACAGGGATGGTGTGCTGTACACAATGGGGTTATGAATGGTGTGATGTATACAGGGATGGTGTGCTGTACACAATGGGGGTATGAACATTGTGATGTATATGGGGATGGTGTGCTGCATACAATGGGGGTATGAATGGTGTGATGTATACAGGGATGGTGTGCTGTACACAATGGGGGTATGAGTGGCGTGATGTATACAGGGATGGTGTGCTGTATACAATTTGTGTATGAATGGTGTAATGTATATGGGGATGATGTGCTGTATACAATGGGGGTAAGAATGGCGTGATGTATACAGGGACAGTGTGCTGTACACAATGGGGGTATGACTGGTGTAATGTATACGGGGATTATGTGCTGTACACAATGGGGGTATGAATGGAGTGATGTACATGGGGACGGTGTGCTGTACACAATGGTGGTATGACTGGTGTGATTTACACATAGGGGGTGGAGAAATGTTTTGCTGTGTAAGGATGGTATGCGGTGTACATAGGCTGGAGTTTGGTCAGGTTATACTCTTTTATTCATTTTGTGAAGTGTGATGGAATATGGTAGCACTGTAAAAATAATAATAATGTGGGGGGGGGGGGGTTTGGCCTTTTTTGGGTCAAAGAAATAAAATGAAACAAAGACGACTTAAAATGTGAAGTATATATAGAGAGCTCTGGGAGACCAGCTGCATTAAGTCCACTTTTAGCCGCACAGAGAGTCCATACTGGACCCCGAATACCAACTGACTCTGGGTGCCATGGGGAAAAAGACGTGCAAGTACTGGCCAGACAGGAGCGAGGGATTCCACGATATCGAGGATCTGCTCCGCACTAGGCTGCAACCCAAGATGGCGGCCCTGCCGCGAAGATCTCCTTCCTGCTCCTCGGAAGATCTGGAGTATGTCGCTCCGGACCCGATCCCAGAAGTCAGGGCCACGTCTGCTAGGAAGGATAACAGAGCTCCTAAGGTAGATGAAGACAGTGCCCCAACTACCAAGGGTGACCTGAAACACCTCCTGAATGAGCTCCGTACAATGTTCCAAGCTGACTGTGCAAAGATACGGGAGGATATGTGAATCCTCACCGACCGCGTAAAATCAGTGCGACATTGACAACGTAGTACCATTCACGCCCAGGAACACCCCATGCAATGGGTGAAGAGTATCCTGATAACCCTGTGTTAATATAGGATGTTGAACAGCTTGTGCAGTTCCCCATGTTACATGTTGTTTCTTACCTCAATTTACTTTTCCATTCCTATTTTAGTGTTTTTAAAGGCATAACCTCCACTAGTGAGGATCACTCACCAATGTCTCCCCCCTTAGCAATCCATGATGGCCATGTGCACCCTTAACACAACCTCCCCCCCACCCCCCCTGACACCCCAGGGTAATAGGGTGCTGATGCATGCCGGTCAGAACCCGACAGATAGATAGAGATGCCTCTAATGTGACATCCATCGATGTCAGGTCATGCTAATTACCAGATCTAGCACACACTATACCGCCTTGTCTATCTCTGCCTACCTGAGCAAGTGCGGTCCTGGTATTATTACTTCCTCTCTTGTATTCTTATATATAAAAATTAGGTGACTATTACTCAATGTACTGCAATATTCTGAACCACTTTACTATGCATACACTTTTAAATGTTTTACTCTGTCTTGTGCAATTTACCACAATAAAAAACAGATTGATTACAGTTTAGTTTTTTTAGAAAAAGCAATGTTTATATCTGTCAAACAGCAGGTACTGGGTCTTTAAAGGGACACTATAGGCACCCAGACCACTTCACTTCATTAAAACTGTGTGGGTGCAAATTCCCAGGTCCCTTAATCCTGCAATGGTAATTATTGCCGTTTTTAAGAAACTGCTCAATTACATTTGTGGGTTAACTCCACCTCTATTGGCTGTAAGTGACAGAAAGTTTTTTAATCCCTTCTGCACCATGAGAGGGTAAGGGGGGCAGCCTTGACATAGGGGGAACTATAGGAAGTTATAGTCCCGAAAACAACGTTGTTTTCCTGGCATTATAGTTTCCATTTATGCACCAAAACCATCGAATTTACTACTTTTTGCATAGAGGGTCCCATTTAATGCCAGTAAATTCGGAGGGGCTATAAATACACACGAACATGCCAATTCATTCCAATTAAAAATGATTGGCTTTTACACAATCTTAATCCTATATTAGCTCTGTTTCAAGCCGACATACTAAATCATGTTGTGGCACACACAGTCTCCTGAGCGGACATCAGGATTTTATGTGTCACTTTATTAGTGAGTTTGATCATCAACGAAGAATTCGCAATATATGGCTCAAAAGAGAATTTTCTAAAGGAGATGTTTTAGAACCACTTGTACAAATCTTCACACAAAGCAACGTATGTAAAGTTTTTAATAATGTCTAAATGATACCTTTACAGCCTTAAAAGAATACAGTTATAAAACCCATGTACCGTTTATGGGAATTAATTAGCAATCAGAAAGAAATCTAATTAACCACAGTTAATATGAAGTCACTTTGTGATTAAACGAGTCTCTCACTCCGCAGAATCATTCCACCTTGAGAAGCAAGCGGCAAAAGCTTTCAGATTAACATCAGTTACATTCTTCTCGTGAACTAGCTGTGACTCCTCCAACTTTGTTTCTGACTTGCAAATAAATTGATAAGCACCTGTTGTAAATTTATATCGGGCCTGCACGCACATGTCTTGGATAGGAGACTGGAAGACCGATAAAATGTGTCCTACCCAGAGAAGATTTGTCCTTTGCATGCACATGAAATTTATCAGACCCATGTCTGCGAGGAGAAAAGTTGCCATTGAAAGTTAGAAGTGGAACAACAACAAAACTAATGATAAAAATGCTCCGTGTTTATGTCAGATAAAGCTTATATGAAGAAATATCACAGTGGATACAAATACAATATATTAACTGGCCTCTTTAATAACCAACAAAAAAAATACACAGATTGTTGCCTTTCAATACATTATGCACATTGAAATGTAATAATGACTTCTAAGAAGCCTTTCAGAGATACACAATTCCGGAGCCTGACAATCCTGCTCAGAAGGTGCATCATTGTGAATTTTAGCAGGTAGGGTTTGATTTCTAACCCTGTTGTATGGAATGGATTGATTACACATTGATCATTTAAAGGCTGCACAGTGCTATTTGTAATACCATGCAGCACTATGAACCGGTTACACACCGTGCACGCCTGATACATGACACACAGTGGACACACTTCTTGCCGGTAATGCCCCTCTTGGCACAGTGAAACCAAACAAGGCACAAGAAAACACTGAGAACCAACAACAACCCAAATATCACGCCCTTCGGTGGGGCCACACTCCGTTTTCATTTGCATATCAGACTAATTCCAATCAAAAGGGAGGTTCAGATCCAAAATCAGGCTGACCTCCTCTGAGCCAGAGATACAGCAAGCCAGACGATCATTTCAGCCTGTTAGTCCCAATCAGTGAGGTGTAGCTGATACCGCTCTAGGGACAGTAAGCAAGGGTTCCACGTCTGGATTACCCTTGACCTCGGGGAGTGCAAACAAACTAAAAACAGAACAGACAAGAAATCAGGTAGTGTCCTGGTGTCACAACATATCAATGAATTCTATGAGTTGCAGAAATGCCATTCCTGGACCGGAGTGAGCAAAGTTTGAAGCTTATGATAGAATTATGATAAAATAAAATATGCCCATGTCTCTGCGGTGAATGCTGACTGCTAGTATCAGAGTTTGGGAGGTGCTGGTGGGGTGCAGTGTCAGAGTATGTTGCTAAAAGTGGAATGAACCTTTTATTTTTTCTGCATGTGACTTACTTTAATGACTCTTTATATGTCTGCATTAGTGGGTGTTGAAGCTGAGAATGCACGCTAGAATGGCATAGTTATACTGAACATTTTTCCTGATGGCTGTTGTGACACATGCTGAAAGGTGCAAAGCAGACTAGCATCACAGAGACATAACTAGAAAGGACTAATCTCCTGAGATATCAGGGGACAAAACCCCCTCCACATAGGCACATAAATAGAACCAAGTAATAGCTTTAAAATAAATAAATTTTACACGTATATTATCCAGATTCGTCTGCCGTTGGAATCATGCTCTTAAAATATAAATCCCTTAAATCCATGACATTAAGTGGAGGCTGGTCCACGGAGTCAGGTGAGACGGCGCTTCCCCGTTTTTGTAGCAAAAAATAATAATAAAATTTTTTAGAAACATATATAAAATCAAAGAAAATCTATTGGCAGTGTAAGGACTACTGATTATTGTGTCTATAGTTTGCGTATATCCATTTATTAATGTCTGTAGATGCAGCTGGTTTTGAATGGGGCATGGCATTTCAAGGGGTTAAATGAGTGGAGCCCAGCAAGTTGAGGCGGGGGCAGCGCCTCACCAGCTTTAAACATCACCACTGCTACTGGTGACAATTAAAATAAAAGAGAGTTATTGGTAATAATATATTTCATATCATCTAGGCAAAGCGCTGGAGGGAGGGAAAAAAGTGCCCTATCTAAAGAATTAGTATGCCCCTTACAACCCCCATTTTGACTCTGCCTGCAGCCTCCATTTTGACCCTCCCTGCAGCCTCCATTTTGACTTTCCATAGAGTCTGATTGACTAATAACAATGTATTATAGAGCAAACTAAATGACGACTTATGTGAGAACAGTGCTTTTCACGCACATTACAAACAAAATGATACAGATGCCCAATACATTGTGTTCTTTTGTTGTTGATCTGTCCTATTTGTGACTTACATTAAAAATACTTCAGTCCAGTTTAATTGAAAAAGAAATAAGGGGAAAATCTGATACAAAAAAGCTGCTCTATCCAACGTATCGGCAGATGAAAGAATTGCAATATTTTGTGGCTCATTAAAGGGGTTTAGCAGATATTGAGGGGTTGAGAGCAGGTTAATACAGACTTAGGGCAGGCAATAATTACACTTGGTACTGTGTGCTAGCCTGTGGCAGAGTGTGTTAAATGTGTTTGTAACTGGCGGCAAAATGTCTTAGTGGGTAACATTCAATATCAAAACTCATGACATCATTGGCAGATTTCTTTTGTCTTTTTCCAATGGCAGCTTAATTCGCCATGTGGATGGCTACGGTTAACCAGGCCATAAGTAAATCATGTTCAGATCTTTCCACTGACCCAATAGGAATAAGGAACCTAGTAGGAATTCGAATTACAGCTAATTATATAAATATGACAGTTTGAGACAAACAAGACCAGATGCGAGTTATACTGCCTGTTACCTCTGAGATACACAGGACGCAGATAAATAAAGCTTCTCGTTTTTTTTTTTTTTCCCACAGCTGCCATCTACTCCCTTTGTACTCCCCACAAAGATTCCCCCCAACTTTGCCCCATGCCGCAAAACCTCGTCTCTAAGTGACATACATACTTCCCCGTAGCCGCGAATAAGCTAGCATTTCACAAATGAATGTGATCACCATATGAGAAATTATCTTTTTAAAATAGAGCCTCATTTGCATATATGGAACGAGAGATTTATGATAGCCAACATTGAACCGCACTGCATCTGCCCAGGATCAGCCACAATTTATATTCTTTGTGACCGATCTTAAATTCTAAAGCGCAAGTAAGATGGAGTACGTTGTTACTGTGTTATTGTCAGGAGTCTAAGTCTTCTCAGAGATTTATTAGGAATCTTATCACAAACATGTCTCAAGTTTTCTCCATTTAAATATGTGCCAAGCTTCTTGGAGGTATTCCACTCAATGCAATTAGATTTCTCAACGCATGCATCTTGAAGCCTTTTCCCAAAATAAAGTCACCTATCATCACACTGCTGCAGCTATATTTTTTTTCTTGCCTGCTACTTAATAATCAATGTATTCATCATTAAAAATCTGAGCCCTGCAGCCATGGTTTTTAGCATATTCTAATGACTAGTGACTTGCAAATTACACTGACCTTTCATGTACAGTCGGTGAGTACCTTGTACTAATGTGAGCTGTATTTATAGCATGCCGATACAAAGTAGCCAAAGATTGGATAATTACTGTAATCTATTAGCTCGATTGCT